TTAACAGAACAGTCCATTCTTTTCCATACAGAATTAATTTCTTATTGAGAAAAAGTAAAAAAAATATATTGTAAACATTTATAGGCAACACTGCAAAAACGTGCACGTTTCTTAGATTGCTGTGATAAACCTAGTTCAAACATTTGGCAAACCAAATATAACCATTTTGTTTTTAAGGAGTTGGTTTGTATGCATTTTATGTTACAGCCCAACACTCGCTTCCCTGGGAACCCAGTGAATTCAGTAAGATTTCTTGTTCATTAGACGTGTAAAAGTTGTGCTGCTACTGATTTTTAAAAAAATCAGTCATAAGGGACTGAAACAATTTTATATAAAGGGTGTATGGGTACTGACCATGTTTTTGATGCTCTTTACTTTGCTTTTGGTTTGAGCTGGATTTTAGTATTTATTAGAAGTAGTTGTAATCTTCTCTTTTGCTGAAAAGAACTGGGAGATTTTTTAAAAACAACAATAGTTTAAGTCATCAGGTTTACAAAAAGAGAGGCCCAAAGTAGAAGGACAGAGGCCCAAAGTAGGTAAGTCAAGAAAACTCAGGCACTACTTCATAATATGATGAAAATCCCTCAATGATTAGCTGTAATGCATATACAATAAAATAAAATGCTGTTGGTCGTTCATCAAAAATAGCTGATGAGAAATGGGAGCAGATTTAAAGAGAGGAAAAGGCAGAGCTTGCTGACCTCTAAGCATAACCAAATGTGTGGCAGTATTTCTTTTCTCTCCTGGATAACACTTGATTGAAGAAGGAGAAAAACATGAGGAAGCGGGCTCCACAAGAAAACAGAAGATAGACCTGCTTTCCATTTGTGCCATTACGATAATCTTATATGAAGACAGAAAGGACTGGAATGTTACTTTTAGAAAAGTAACTCATTTAACTCAAAGCCATCAGCCATCAAAATCACATTTTAGTTTCATAAAGCAAGTCTTTGCATTACTTATTACTTTCTTTCTTGAGTCTAATTAAAAAAACATTTGAATTAACGATTGTATGGTGTTATCTATATTTTTAACTATGTTGTAGCTCTCCTCAAACCTTGAGAACACATGAAATAACAACAGCAGTCACCACTACTACTATTATTTACAAACTGACATGAAGTTTGCAAACGTCTATTCTAAATCATCTTGAAAACAAAGTGTCTAAGTATAAACTGCAGAGTAACTAGGGAGATTGAATAATCTGTACTCTAAATGTTTACATCATTGCATGGAACTTATTATTTGCAAGCCCTATTGGGTTGCTAAAGAGCTGTTACCAATTTTGTTTTGATTTACACAACTAATCTGTGCTCTCTCATTTGAAAAAGGTTCCATTTAATGTCAGGTTTTTTAATGGATTAAGTGTATTTATAAGATGCTCATGTGTAACAAGAAGCCAGAATTTTGGTCTCTTATTTAGGAAGCTGTGTGCTGATACCCATAGCCAATTACCAGTGCTTGACTTTTTCCCTGGTTCAAGGAATTCCAAATGGGAAATTCTGTGACTTTTTCTTTTTTGCCTTCAGAAATGGAAAATTGGTGTAGCACTTGCAACTTTGCAAGAACATCTTTGGTTACTGCTATCACTTGGGAATTCAGAGCCTCATGAAAAATTCAGACAGTACCCTTTGAATTAAAAAAAATCTGTGATCATGTAAGCTATGAAAAACCAGCTGAAGATTTCTTTTAACTTGAATAAGTGAATATGTAGAATAATATAATTCATCTTGAAGAAGTGTAATGTGATCTGCTACTATTTATTACGGTGATATGTTATATCTAGAATTTCCATTTTGTGTTTATGGATGTCTACAAATACGCAGTTTGATAGGTTTCTACTATGTTCTTGAAGAAGCAAGGGTGTACTAAAGAAGAAGCAGGTTGTTGCCTTTGGGAAATTATTTACTGATTTATTTTATGAAGTACTATTTCACTTAGGCCTCGTATAAATTGACCATTTAATGTAGTTTTCAACCAGTAGTGAAGAACGTGCTTTGTGTTGCTTTTAACAACACAAAGTGCTTTCGCTGTGCAGATGGAATCCTTGAACCCCTTTGAGGCCAGGATTGTACAAACAACAGAGTTTGCTGCACATTAGGGACTTATTTTGTATGCTTTTATGGGAGCTTGTTGTCTGGTTGCTACAGGTTGAAGTAGCTTTAAATTACATTAAGTGGTTAGTGTAGATTACGCCTTATTTAGATGCCACTGCTATGCAGTAAATCTGCTCAGAATAACTCACAAATACTAACATTGTATCAAATTCAGTAAATTAAAAAAAAATCTTACAAACATATGGATTACTCTAAACTTGAGAAAACTAAAAATTATAAACATAGCATTAATTAAATGTTAGTTTGGAAGACTCGGTATTTTATTGTATAACATATATAAGTGATACAGATCCATGAAGACTTGTGCAGTTTGAATTTGTTCTCTTTTCAGCAGTGGACTTGGGTGCCTGTCATTGGAAGAGTCACTTCTTACTTTGCATCATGATATTGCCGTTCCACAAAGCACGAAGTTAACATCAATTTAGCAGTGTAGGAATTGTGACAAGTAATTTAGCATCTACTCATTCTTGATCAGGAGAAACCAAACTCTACTCCAGATACTATCATCATCATCATCATATTTATATCTCACTTTTTCCTATTTTGGGATGAGTTATAATAGGTTAAAAAAAATCATAAAACCAACAGGATCAAAAAGTTTAACAGTCATCAAACCATTATAAAATTTGAAATCACTTAAAAGAAATGTAAACAACAAATAAAAATCCACCCCATTACACATAAATTATTTTTCAAAGGTTTTTACCTATTTTCAGAATGATGGTAAGAAAGTACTAGCCTAGACACTCTGTGCAGGGCATTATATAGATCCTGGGAGCAACCACTGAGAAAGCTGCCTCCTGTACTACCACCAAGTGTGCTTGTGAGTATGGCAGGAGACTGGCAGGCCTCCTCAGCAGTTCACAAAACATGGGCAAATTCATGTGGGAGAGTACAGTCAGTTGCATGACCTAGGACTTTATAGATGATTATCATCAGCACATTGAATTCTGCCCAGAAATGAATGCCTGCCAGTAGAGCTGTTGCAATTAGAAGTTTGTGTGCTCCAATTAACAATCTGGCTACAGATTGTTTCAAGATGTAAGATTTACAATCCTAAAAGCCAGAGTACCAAGCTGGTAAATGCATCTAATAAAGTGGACTCAGTTTTGTAAAAGCTTCTATTTCCTTGTTTTTCTTCTTAGATGGTAACAGACTAAAATGGCCATCATAATCACAATCACTATAATAATAATAATCATCATCATCATCATCATCATTATCATCAATAAATTAGTCATAAATCTCTACCCCAAAAGTGTGCCTCCTTGAAATTTGTTTGATATGACTCAGGATTGAAGGAATCAATACAACCTACCCATGTATGGAGTCTGTGCACAGATTCTACTTTTGCTTGAAAATATTCATAAGTAAATATAGTAAACCATGGTTTTATATGAGTCATTTTCCTATACCATTGTATATAATGAAATGATCTGCTTGGTGACATAGGTTTTGCTGGATGAACAGTATTTCACCCATGTTTTAATTATAATGTATTATATCTTGTTCTTAACAATATAATATAATATAAAATATACCACGAGTGCTATTTAGATCAGAAAGATGATAACATTGTATCAATAAATTAGATAACAAATAAAAGAAAAGTTAGTTCACACTACTAGTTCTAGTTGTCATGCACTCCATGTAGCCACAGTAGTCTGTGAAGTGTAATTCAGGGAACACAGATCTTTTATCACCAGGCTAGATAGTTCATAACTGTCATCTCTCCTTTTGATAAGGATTAAAAGAAACATTGTGGTGAATAACAATGCTGGCATATGTTCTGCACCAGTTCCATAGCTGCTGCTCTTGTTATTGTGTACCTTCAAGTCATTTCCAACAAATGGCGACCCTCAGGTTAACCTGTAACAGCTATTCTACCTGCTAATAAAGTTCTTGATGCACTCCCTACCATCATTTGGAGCACATGTTGTAGAGCAGGCATGAACAAACCGGCTGTTAGGAATTGCAGGAGTTGGAGTCCAAAACACCTGGGGGTGCCAGCGTTTGCCCATGCCTGTTGTAGAGTCTGAACGTTTAACCTGATGGTGATTATCATTTTTTTTTCAAGTTCCACTATGTCACATTTACACTAAAAAGCTAAAAACAAAACAAAAACCTTTTGCAGATTGTATCCATGTTAAAATTGGAGCATTTATAACATTTTCTTTAATCCTAGATTATTTTTAATTCCACATTACATTGCTGGAGTAAAAAAAATCTTACTGATACAAAGTGGGGGGGAATCTTTTCTGTCATTTTCCCTCCCCCCCCTCCCCAATTTCAAAATTGGCAGAGGAGAAAACAGCTGCATGAATTTTGAAAAACCCATTTCTCGTCTTCCCATCCACTGAAAGGTCAATGTAAAGAAAATAGAACCAAGGTTCATGCTAAGATTATTTTTTAAAGTGGCCTTTTAGGAGTTGTTGAATACAGTTGAAGGACTGAGAGTGAGGATTATTTTCTCCGCCAGTTGACTGGACAGCAAAAATATTCTAACTTATTTGATTTTCTTACTTACTAGTAACTATAGCATCCATTTTTTTCTTATCTTGATGATTATTTGTCCTGATTTCTCCATGGTTATTGCTAGTGTCTCTGTTTTCATATTCTGTATAATCAACAGTAGATCTCAAGTTCAACTTCAAAGAACTTTAACAGCTAAGGTAGCAGAAAGCATATATTTTAAAAATGTGTAGGTTACAGTGATAATAAAAAGTTCAGCCCACAAAAATGACTACCTATTCTTCTTACTGCTTGCAAAACCAGCTTACTAAAATTATCAGCAACATGATAGACGGCCCAGGGATTTTCCCCACCAGCCACTTGAAGTGACATTTCCCCTCTAAATATTTCCTGTTTTGTTTTTAATTGTAGCATCCTGGAGCACAATGAAAGAGCTTTAATGCACAGACTTCAAGTAAAAAGTGCTGCAGCAACAAGGACAGGGCGAAAACCTTACCATTGCACCTGGGAACACTCCTTTCATTTGAAGTAAGTGAATATAAAGCAGTTTGGATGTAAGGGGGATTATAGCTAATCTGTGTTTTGATTTGTTTTTGTGTCTGAAGAAGTGCAATGATATTTCTTCTCATGCCTGCAAAGAGATTACTTGTAGGGTTAGATTTGACATGATGGTTGCCGACTTCTCAATGTTCATTGGAGCTTTCCCAGTCATATATAAAGATATGAGGAAGTAGCTCTGTTTTCAACAGAACAGTGGTGCATAGCAGGTGGTTCTAACCACTCCATTGGACACAGCTTATTTATTTGTGATATGCACCTCTAGTCATTTTATTCTTCAGCTTCTGTCAACTCATCTGGAAAAAGATCACTTGGGTAAAGACTACAAGGAGGTAAGTTGTGTCCTGCTTTTTTGCTATAGGCTGAGCATCCCAGATCCAAAATGCTTGGGGCCACACATTCCACATTTAGGATTTTTTCCCCTGGATTTGGGAATACTTCCATAGACATATTGAGATATCTTCAAGATGGAATCCAAATCCACACACAGAATTAATTTATATTTTACCTTACCTTATACATGTAGTCTGATGATAATATTATGCAAAGTATTTTGTTAATAATTATGTGCATGAAATCATGTTTACATACCTTGAGCCATGGAGCCCCCGTTGGTGCAGTGGGTTAAACCCCTGTGCCGGAAGGACTGAAGACCGACAGGTCACAGGTTCGAATCCGGGGAGAGGTGGATGAGCTCCCTCTATCAACTCCAGCTCTTCATGCAGGGACATGAGAGAAGCCTCCCACAAGGATGATAAAAACATCAAATTATCTGGGCATGCCCTGGGCAACGTCCTTGCAGACAGCCAATTCTCTCACACCAGAAGCGACTTGCAGTTTCTCAAGTCGCTCCTGACACAACCAAAAAAACAAAACAAAACAAAAACCTTGAGCCAACAGAAAACAGAAATTTCACTGTCTCAGCCACCCATGTGGATGATTTTGGATTTGGATTATTTCAGAATTATGGGTAAGGGATGTTCAACCTATATACAAATTGGACTCCAATTTCCTCTGCCTTGAAACTGGTGTTCAGAACAGGATATGGAGACCAGAAGCTTCCATATGTCCCCTTTGAGCTTGATTCAGAAATAAGTTAGTAGTTTGGGGAGCAACGGGAAAGACCTGACATTTATATCTTGATTTTAATTCTAGTGAGTTTTTAAAAGAAATCTGACACATGCCATTTCTTACAAGCCAGAGGATACCTTGCTGTTCTGGCTAATTTGTGCCATAGTTGGTGTGTGAAGTCAGGCTGTAGAATTTATAGTATACCCTTTCCACAAAATGGAATGAAAAACAAACTACTTTAATCCTTCGATTCTAAGACTCACTTTCCCCCCATATAAGCATCTCAAAAAACGGGCTTGTCTAAAAAATTGGCTGACATATATTTTTGTACTAATGGCATTGCCATTAGTGTGCATTTTACATTGGTTTGATTTGGTGTATTTGGGCAGAACTTGATGCACCATGGCACTGCTTTACAGAACTCTTGTGCCAATGTAGCAGTGTTTGAGAAGTTTCCTCATAAATATGCCTTAGGTGTTTGTATACTTGCTGCATTTTATTTCATTGTTGTTTTGGAAAGAGGGAGCTGTTCCATTGAATGTGTCCTGTTGTGTCTTGCAGTAGCTGAGCCTACAATTGAGGTTATATGCATATACATGAAATAATTTCATATTCTCTCCATATTTATTGCTTCCCCTGTTTCCCTTTGTTTCTTCTTGTTATTTTTGTTGTATTCAGCTTTTTTAAAAATTCAGCTTTAGATTGGAAGCCCTTCAGGGCTGGAATCCATCCTCTTGCACACTGTACAGAACCACATACACGGATGGCATTCTTATTAATTAATTCATTTAGGATAATAGGCTATCAATAAAAGGACACATCTGCCAAAGAAGTAATATGTCCACAAACCTACATAGTTGAGTGTGTGTTTCATCTTTTATCTGTGTTGAACTATTTAGTAAAATAGTTTTTTAGAACTCTTCTTCAGGGCAGAGGATAAGCAAAACACCTGCATGTAGTGAGAGACGGAGCTGGTTATTAAACAAGATAAGGAGATGAGGACTTAATAGTAATGCACAAAACTGTCAAATAGTTACTTCAGACTTTTGCAGTCAGAAGTTTCATTTTCAGCCTAGAATATGAAACCTCTGATTCAAAAGGCCTGAAGTGTATAATTAGATGCAATATAAGAATTGTTATTCTGGCTCTGATCTCTGGTAAGCCTTTTTGTAACCCAGCTGCTTACAATTTAGGCCGTTGTATAATTGTTTGGAGGAGAATGCCTAAAGGGTACTTTGCTTAGTAATGCAAGTGTTAAGAATTCTGAGATTTCAGTGAAAACTGAGAGTTTGAAATTGCATGTTGTTGTCCAGTTGTGTTGCTACTGTAATCAGTTTATTGAAATATCAATATTCTTTCACAATTTGCAATTGTCATTGTTAGCGTTCCTAATTTGGTTAATGTAGTTGTGTTCATGACAGAGGTTTTAAACTGCAATGATTAAAGCAAAATAGAGTACCCTTTCTGCCCTGTGACTACGAATGACACTGGGATATTTGAATAGTAATATAATTAGGAGCTGTGTAACTCACACTGCATTGTGCTATTTTTGTTTTGTAATTAAAAAAACAAGAAAAGAAACGCTTTATGAATTGTAATGAAAGGCATCACCCATTTCATTATCTTCATTTTCCAGGCCTTTATCTTTCACATCATAAAACATTGGGAATCTCTGTAGAGGAATGGCAGATCGGCCATGTCTAAAGATCTTCCTTTCATGTTACCTTACCATTAGTCCTGGCAAAAGAGATGAAGTCATTATACATAGTTGATGTCCCACATGATGACCTCTCAGCTGCATCTCTAGTGACGCCACCACTCCACCAGCCCCACAACATATCGGTCTGCCATTTGGTCTCTTTAATTTGTGCTAGGGAGGGAGGGGGGGTGGATATTTACTCCTGATTGATTTGGGTTTACCTGAGGCATCATTTGGATGTCTCAGGTAAACCCGTAACAGGTAATGCATTTTGGCCTGTCTGGAAGGGCCCTCATACAATCCAGTTCAAAGCAGATAATCTGGGATCAGATCTTGGGATGTAGGGCCGCGTCAATCCAGCTGTAGAGATTTGCTATGAAGCAGTCAACTGTCCCAGCCTCTTGTTTTACAAAGCATCCACTACTATGATCCGTGATCCTCTGGCTCCTGTGATCTTTATTAAGAAATAACAATCATTAAAGTGATTGCCCCCACTACTTATTTTGCACATTTCCACAGTTGTACATAAACTTTATTCTTTGGTATGAACATAGAAATATTGGAAATCACTGAGGAGTACCATACAACACGTTTGCTACCTTTGTAGTTTAGAACTAACATTTTTAATTAATAGAAATCATGCTCTGTTGAAAGTGTGATCAAGAGGTTGCTAAGCAAGGTTTCTACAGGATGTTTATTGACTCAATAAGATGCCCATTCAGCTCAAAAATCAATCAGTCAGTTGACCCTCAATATCTGATCACAGACAGATATTACATGAAGCTAAGAATTTCCTTGCAGCTCACTTTTTAAAATGGCATTATTATACAAACATGTTTTGAATGTCAGAAACAAAATGAGGGCTTCCAAATCTTGTTCTTTAGCCTAGCTAGAATTTAAATGTATAAACGTATTCACACAATTTAGCACTTGGTATATCACCACCTTTAAAAACTAACCTTTTCATTTACCACAGGACATGGGTAGTTCTACATAAGGGTTTGGCTTCTTCTCCCATTTAGGCTAACCTTAGAATCCTCTCTATATAAAAAGCCAACAATTGTGTGTTTGTTTGTTGGTTGGTTAATTGGTTTGTACTGCAAAGGCTCCTATGTGGCTTGATGGATCTGGATTAAACATGTCACACATTATCCAACTTAAAATAATAGAGGGGTTTGAACTGAAAAAAATCAGAGCTGGAGGAAAGAAAAGGAACAAGGCAAGGAAGACGAAAGCAGGGCAGGGCGAAGAAAAAGGAGAAAATGAAAGAAGGTAAGGCAAAAAGCTATTGGAGGTGGGGGAAATAGATTGAAAGAGAAAGGAAGAGAAGAAAGGACAGATTAATGAAGGGAGCAAACATTACCTCAGTTTGTCCTTTACATGTTTTCTTAAGGAAAGGAATGTAGTTGCACCTTTGACATTAATTGAGGGAAAGAACTCAATAGCAAAAGATTGTGTAGATTTACCATAAGTCTGCTTCATAGGATGTCAGATTAGATGAAGTTGATGAACGCTTATATTGGCAGCTTTTTTCTCATCTCAAAGTGATAGAAGAACTCTTTCTATGCTGATCAAGGCTAACATGACTAGGTCTTTGTTTGAATTCTACAAAATATTTTACTAAGAGATATTTGTATTGGAATAACAATCTTGGGTTGTTGTAGGTTTTTCGGGTTGTATGGCCATGTTCTAGAACGTCTCTCCTGACGTTTCGCCTGCCTCTGTGACAAGCATCCTCAGAGGTTGTGAGGTTTGTTGGGAACTGTAAAGTTGGGTTTATATATCTGTGGAAGGTCCAGGGTGGGAGAAAGAACTCTTGTCTGTTGGAGCTAGGTGTGAATGTTTCAATTGGCCACCTTGATTAGCATTTGATGGCCTGACAGTTTTAGGTGTGGCTTGTTACTGCCTGGGAAATTTCCTTGTTGAGAGGTGACTAGGTGTTTCTGATAGTTTCCTGGCTGGAGTTTCCCTGTGTTTGAGTTTTGTTTTTATATACTGTTTTAGAGGGTTTTTTTAGTACTGGTAGCCAGATTTTGTTTATTTTCATGATTTCCTCCTTCTGTTGAAATTGTCCACATGCTTGTGGATTTCAATGGCTTCTCTGTGTAGCTTGACATGGTAGTTGTGAGAGTGGTCTAGCATTTCTGTGTTCTCAATGCAGTTCGATACTACTTTAGCAGTAACGGCTGAGTGATATGGA